GTCCAAAAATAAATAAAGGTGGTAATCTGGGAACCTTTGAGAATGCTGATATAGAGGAAATCCTGACTAAGGGGAAAAGAGACCAGTCTGTCAGTCCCCAAAAATATCCAAAGAGAGAGAGAAGCAGAGAAAAACTGAACATAGACTTTCAAAGCAAAACAGCTGCTAATGCAAGTTCTAGTAGGCTGCTAAAAACTGAAAGGGTAAAATTAGGAGTCACAAAGGAAATAACAAAGCCAAATTTATCTACAAAGAACTCAAAATATCCTTCAGAGGTACAGTATGCCAAGATAGGAGAGCAGTTTCTCTCACTTTCTAAGACTGATCAGCCTGGAAAGAAAATCTTGGAAGTTGAGAATATGAAAAGTTCTAAGCAATTTCAGAAGTCAGGTCTTCCTGATGATTCATTCATTTCTATGGATAAAAACTCTAGACTTGAAGCAGATGAGCCTCTTTTCCTGAACAAATTTACAGATAACTTGGAGCTAGCTGACAAAACCAAAGACGATGGAATGTCCAAATCCGAGAGCAGTTCTCCAGTAAAGAAAACAATAGTTCCTGGACCTTGGAAAGTACCAAGTACAAGTCGTGTCACAAAAGCAATGGGTCTGACTAACAAACGGGTTTGATTGACCAACTTTTTTAAGAACACATTTTAATCAGGTTTTTAAACATAGTCATTAAACTTTCCCCTAGAAAACTCATATTTTTTTTAGACACTGTGACAGAATGGGAAGTACATTTGATTTGATCTTTTATTAGGCTGCATGAAGGACCTTTTCAGATTGCACATGAGAAACTCTTCAAAAGCTGTTGTCCTTTTGTCTCCTTTGAAGATAGCGTCCTGCTGCTCCTGATGTTGCACTGCTAAGATTTTCTGATAGTATTGTATGTTAATGAACATTATTTAATGCCTATTATTAGTGGATCATAACTCACTACTTGTTCTTGTGCCAAGTTATCTACTGTAGCCCATTTAATCTTTACCTGCATTTTCCATTGCCACTGAAAATGATTTTGTTTAAAATGGGTGTTTTCTCAGGCATGCTGCATGTTTACATAGGGAATACTAAGTTCTCACAGCTAAAGTAAATTAAAGGCAGGGCGGATGTGATTTTCTTAACTCTGGGGAGTCAGGAAGTTAACATACACTCAGTTAACTTTTTTCACAATTTTTTTCTTTCCTTCCCAAACTTCTCAATCTGCAAAATAACTGTAAAAAAGACAGTAGCCCTTTAGCAATAAATATGACACCTTACTATTTTACTCTATAGTGATTTTATTATTTTTCTGTGGTACAAATTAAATCTTAGAATTGAGCAGTTTGGAAATCACGTTTGATGAGATGAGATTAGGAGAGCAAATGTGTCAGGTGCATAACCAAATTATTTCCTGATATTTGTTATAACACATTAAAATTAGAAATTAAACATGCAATGAATGCATATGCTTTAGCTTTCTGTCGTGTTATTCGTCAGAATTTCCATCTGTTGTTGGATTTTATTTTGCTTGTTTGTTTGTTAATGCTGGCTAAATACTTGGAACATTTGTTGCCTTGCTCGAACATTTAAAAATCTTAAATCCCAGCAAGCAAAATAAATCAGAACTGACCCACCAAAGTAAAATTCTTTAGTATTGTCCTTGTGCTCATTAACAGAAGCCCGTTACACCAAATTTGTACATAAAAGTACTTCCAAATTTAAAAGGTCTCTATGAAATTTCCTATTTGCTTGTGCATGATTATCATAATGGGAGGAATGTTATGAGTACATTAATTCTTCAGGCGTATAGGCATATGGAGTGGCAACCTCTAAAACAACGAACTCTTGTAATTTTTTAAAAATCATTCTAGTAATGAACTTGGTTTCCTTTGAATGGATTTGAATGAAAGGCAGTGGTCAGTTAAGAAAAATAAAAATACATTCTTACAGATCTTAACAATCAGTGTGGATAACTTAAATAATTACTTTTTATTTGAGTGTATGCACATGTGGGTATATATTTAAGATGTTTAATGTCTTCATTGAGTTGCCCTCTTCCAAGGTCCTCATGCTTTTCAGATGAGCCATTTTGTATTAATTTTTCTTTTAGCAGAGTACATATTCATGTTTCTTCTAAAGGTACTTTTTCCTCTCCTTTCTTAAAGCCCTTTTTGTCCTCTTCTATCTTTAGTTTTGTAGTTATCATAAAATGCTAATTGTGTACATGCTATAGTAGAACTATTTACTATGATGTCTATAATTGTTTTATATTGGTTTGACAAGTTTGCTTTTCTTCATACTTTGGAGAAGCCTAAACAAAATATTAGTATCATAGTCCTCAAGCTAGCAGCAGACATGTATATATTGTGCACACCTGTTCGATATTGCTCCCAGCTATTCTGATACTAATAGCCTCCCCTTTTTAGTAGTGAAATGGCTGTTCTTATTTCACTATTTTAAACAAAAAAGTGTAAGCCTACTATTTCTTGCACCATGGCATTAAATTCCATGCTAGCAAGCTTCTTCTCACCACTAAAATTATGAATTCTGGCTGAATCTTCTTTTGCATAAACCTAGTTTTGCAATTTAAGTTATTATCTCACTTGCCTAGCAGCTGAGGACTTTAGAGGTACTGTTTTCAGAAGATTTTTGGTTTGCATTCAGATTTAGAGGGCTGACATAAGTTCTTCTTAGTCTCTGATTTATTTGCTTTGAATGTTTTAGTAGTAATAGAAATAGATGGGGGCAAGAGTCTACAACTTTGGTAATTTCATATAATTTCAAAATGGACTGTGATTTTTGAGAGGGATTAAAAGGTCTGTGAAACTGTCCTCTCTCCACGGCATGATTTCAATCTGTTTCCAAAGAGAATATAGCCTACCACTTTGGAAGTGCTAGTGTTGCTTGCCAATGGTCTACTCTTGTACCAATTCTATTAGCCCAATTTATCAGAAGCAATCAGACCAACAACAGATGATATATCAGCATGCCAGTCAACTATTAAATAGCTATGGACTTTCCAGAAAGAACTGCTAGTGACTATGTAAATGATTAATGAAAAGGTTTAGGCCTAAAGCAAACACAGATATTCAATAGGTTAAAGTCATTGAAACTATTTGGACCCAAAGGTATAAAAAATACAGAAAGCAAGAGTTCAAGGGCTAGCTGTATTCATCATGCTACAACCATGGTAGAATGTGAGTTTACCAATGTGCAAAATCCCTATGTAATAGCTGTGAACAAAACTTCTAAGACTCATTTTACTTAGATATATACGATAGAACTTTAGACTTTTTCAACAACATTCTCCCCATTACTGTTTATTGATTCCCATTTCTTGAAAATAGTTTTTACAGTAGATGAAATTGCAGTTCAGATGCAGTTGAAATAAAAAAAACCCTATTCCTTAGACTTGGACATCTGAGTATTTCTATTGGAATGAAGTACTAAGACATATCAGTTGTAGAAAATATCAACTTTTTAAAATACAATTGTCATCTGATACAGCTTTTAATGTGTATTGTGTGCTCTTATCATTTACAAACTCAAAAGTTACTGTAGGAAGTATATGCAAATATTGTAGAATATTACTGTGAAAATATTAAATATCTGAGTAAATTAACTTGACAAATATCATGAGGCAACCTTCAAAAGGTTCTATATATTTTGTCACAAAATATTGAATGAAAACTGCAGAAATATCAAAATAATAAACCTGAAACAACTTTATTTTCCAACTATTCAGATACTGTTTATCCATTTAATGATGTGACCTATTTTGTTGTCTTCTGTTTGATGTGAGCCCCTTTTTTCAGAAACTTTGTATCTGTATTTAACTTGATAACAATGATTTAGCAATGTGGCCTTGGAATGTTCAGAGAATATGGTTGTATTGGATGTAAATGTTTTATTTTGTACAGCACCTTTATATATTCACTTCTCAGATTCTGATTAGAAAGATCTGTAAATCACTCATTATTTTTTATATAGATACATTAAAAAGAACATCTGATTTAATAACTTTCTTTGTTACCCCTCTTAATGAAAACTTTTTTCCTGTTAGTCTGTAAATTAGAATACCATTAGACAATGTATGATTTCTATTGCACCAATGGACTGTCTTCAATGCTTTTAATTGAATACTCTGCTGGTATCTTTAGTTGTGGAGCAATATAGACACTTCCAGATGAACATTTGCTTCCCAGCTATTTATTATTTTTGCAGAACAGCCCCTCTGAACCCAGGGAGACTTTTATAATTTAAGATTACAGATAGCAGTTAACTTAGGAGACATCCTGAGACATTCCTCTGCAACTGTCTTGGAAAGACTTGGGAGTGGCATTTGGGAGGAAGTAGCAGGGGCAGGCTACAATAAGGGTACATGTACATGAGTCACAGTGGTGCAGTGGTTGGAGTGCAGTACTGCAGACTACTTCTGCTGACTGCCGGCTACCTGCAATTTGGCAATTCAAATCTCACCAGACTCAAGATTGACTCAGCCTTCCATCCTTCCGAGGTAGGTAAAACGAGGACCCAGATTGTTGGGGTCAATATGCTGACTCTGTAAACTGTTTAGAGAGGGCTGTAAAGCACTGCAAAGCAGTATATAAGTCCACTGCTATTGCTGTGTAGGAATAATTTGGAGACAAATATAGTGTAGTGGGAGATAATGGAAATTGATCTGTTAATAGGAAAATATGGATTGTAGGATTCTTGGGGGGGGGGCGTTAAGCACTTTGATTGTTGATCAGATGAACTGGAAGTATGTGGGGAACTTGATAAGGTTGACTACAAATAAAAGAATGGATTTGCATTTTTGGTTTTTACATCCTTACTGTGATTGAGGCTCTTCAAAAAAAAATCATTAACAATTCATTATTCTATGATCTTTGTAACATCACACACATGTACAAAAGGGATGGAGCTTTTGATACAATGCGGCTTAATTCTGCAGACATTTCTGTATGAATCTACAGCTAGCAATAAATACTTGCAAGCATATCCTTTTCACTGGAAAAAACCCAAAGCAAACCATCACTGGCTTCTCTCGACTTCTGTTTTATTTGTCTTAGTATTTGAAATTAAATGTTAGTAACAATCATACAACTTCCTTCAGCAGCTTACAAAAATGCCAATAATAGCTTTATATATAATACAGAATATTCTAAAGGTGTTGCCTCCAGAAAAAAAAAAGAGTTGTTTGAAAAAGAAAACCTATTGCATAAATGCTAATGATAGCAGCCAAGCTTTGGTAACTCCTTTTACAGGCCCATTAATACTTTTATTCTGAGAACTTAGCAACATAACACAGATAGAAAAAACATATGTATAAACTGATTTGTGGAGGTGGAAGATGGAATACATATAGAAGGGAAATGTTATATATCCACAATTCTAACAATTGGGGAAGGAATGTAAACCTTTTAAACAAACCTTTTCAGTAAAAATTTCTCAGAACCAACCCAGTCATCAAGGTGCTAATTGTTAGCAATTAACAATATTACTTATCACAGCAAAAACACGAGTTTCCAATTGCTTTGTGTAAAACATCGATAGCATATCAACATTTTTATTTTATCATAGATAAACTGCTTTGCTAATTCAGATCATTATTTGGTGAATTCTAATAGTATCTTTAAATTAAATCCCTCTGGTGTATGGCAGATCTACTCTTAGCCATCTTCTGTTATTGCTATTTTGTGTTACTGAGCAATGGAAAGCTGAGCTGTAAAATGACTAAAGAGGCTATTTGTATTTTGTGGGAATAAATTCCATTCTTTCCCAGTACAGCAAAGAAAAAGTGGGCCCAACTATCATTCAAGAAAAAACACTATCAGAGGCATTTTGAAATGTAAAAAGTAGGTCAACTGTAACTTACAGAAAATAGGAGAACTTGCCAGAAACAAACACCATATTAAATTATTATTAGGTACCAAATAACAATATTTATCTTATAGTCACAGTGAGTTTAACAGGCAGTTTCAGACCAGAATAATGCTGGCTTTTTTTTTATTCGTTTAATAAACCTTGCTGCAAGACATCTAATTTCATATTGCTTTGCTCCATAGGAGCAGCTGGTTTAACCAACTAAGATGAGCACATTAGAATTAAGTTATTTATTAAGCTTTATTTAACCATCTCTTCAAGCTGTGACCTCAATGAAAGATTAATTCTAAGTTCTTAAAAAAATATATGAAAAATACAGCATTTGTATTGATGTGAGGACTGGCATAATTAGAAAAGCACCTTCAATGACCAGGCCAAGCCTATGTAGCACAGCAGAGGATGTTTCTGCCCAAAACAGGGGCTGCAGCATCTTTCTCATGGTTTGATTTTCCATAACTAAAAAAAGAGAATAAAGTAAACATTAAAATCAGAAAATAAATTTTAAACTCATGTGAAAGCAAAATCCATTGGTAAAACCCATGAATAAAAGTAACACTCTCTGCTTTTTTTACTTCTCTTCCCAATATATTTCATATTTTATAAGCAAGAGTAGAAAGGTTTTAATCTCTGTGTGTATATTACCTCATTTATTTTTATTTTTATCCTGTTTTTATTATTTTTAAGGATTACTCAAATTAACATGCATACCTAACTCTCCTTCCTCCTATTCTCCCAACAAACTGAGTTGGTTCGGTTGAGAGAGAGTGGCCCAAGGTAACCCAAATGGCTTTTGTGCCTGAGGTGGGACTAGAAGTCATGGTGCCCTGCTTTCTAGCATGGTGTCTTCATCAGATCAAACTCTGTTTTGAAGAATACCTAAAGTCCTAAAAATTGGATCTCTCATGGATTCCTACTGCCCCAATAGCATCCTTGAAGAGTTCTAACTGCACCCTAGATATTTTCTTGCAAAGAAGAATCATATACACAGTTTGCCTATGGATACATACCCAAGATTTACTTAGATTCTCTGATATGATGCTTGTCTTTTGTGCTTAACCATACAATACTTTTTGGTTATAATTACAGTGATTTCACAATTTCCAAAAGTGCCCCCAAATGCCTAAAAACTAAAAGTTATCACTCTGGAAATTATACGTGCCTGAAGCATGTAACTGTTTCATTTTCACAATTACACTGTTCTGCTTATGGTTGAGCAGACAAAATATAGCCTTTATGTAGACAACACTAGAAAAAGACAACTGAGCTAGTCTCAACAAGTACTAAACAACACTTACTCTGATATTGAAGCCCAGCAAATCACTTATAACTCCAGAGACTGCTGATAGGATCACCACTCGTGTAATATTATAGATCAAGGGATTCATTGTCAAACCGTATAGCCTAAATGGTGTATCTAACTCCTGTGGTTATGAAACAGAATTATAATGCAGCAGTATTGCTTTCATATAATAAAAAGATTATCAAATATCTTTTTTTAAAAATGTAGCAGAAGAGTACAGGTAAAGAAGCGCAAATTATTACTTTATTTTTACCTTCAAGAGTTTGGTGGAGAGTTTAAGGACGTTATTTACTAGCGTGAGCTGCTCTTTCTTGTTTGGTTTCTTTTCCATCTTTAAGTACAAGTTTATCTGCAGGAGAGTTATTTAAATAGTGTTTATTAAATTATGCCATTTTACTAATCTGGTTCTGCCTAGTAATGGCAGGGATGACATATCCATTAATCTTTCCTTTATATTCCCTTCACAGCATAAACATTAACAAAATCAACTTTTATAAATTGCATCATTTTTCGTAACCAGTAAAAGCAACAGCTAAAATACGGTATGGTGTGCTTTTAAAAAAATATAGAACAGTCAAACACTGTATATACTCATATACAAAGTCAAACTTGATAACAGTATGATCATGAAATATACACCGTAATTGGAAAGTGGGGGAGGCAATGGCTGCTTTTCTCCTATTAGCCTGAAAGGTGATGACAGGTTCTAGAGAAAAGATTTTCTAAATAAAACCTAGATATATCCAGGGGTGGGAGTCAGCTGGTTCACACCAGTCCGGGTAAACCAGATGTTAACTTACCTCTGGTTCACCGAATTGGTAGTTGAACCACTGCCCACCCCACCCTCCCCTCCCAGGAATCTCCACACAACCCGATTGGGATGCAAGGTCTGCACAGAGGCTCTAGGAGAGTGAAAAACAGGCCTTCCGGCTTCTGGAGGCTGTTTTCACCCTCCCAAAGGCCCAAGGAAAGCCTCCAGACCCTGGGGAAGGCAAAAAAACGGCCCTCCCAGAAGTTCTGGAACTCCAGAAACAGGTTTGCTTCCAGCTTCTGGAGGGCCACCGGACCCCGGGGGAGACCATTTTTGCCCTCCCAGAGGCTCGAGGGAAGCCTCCGGATCCTGGGGAAAGTGAAAAACGGCCCTCCTGCAAGTTCCGGTAGGCCACACCCACCATGGCTATGCCCACCCAGCAACTGGGCAGTGAACCGGTTGCTGGGATTTTTGAATCCCACCCCTGGATATATCCTTTAGTTGAAATATACTTTAAGAATCCTGACCAAGAGCAAAAAAAATTACATAAGTATGTAGTTTTTAATAAAGAATAATTTGTTTTATAAGATTTAACTACAGGAAAACTAAAGGAAAAGAAGATACAAGTCGCTAAAGACCTATTCTTTTAATAAAATCACTTCGGTCTTCAATGTTCATCAAATAGCGCCCGTGGTTTAGCTTCTACAGGCATTTTTGAAAATTAAGATACTGAAATTTGTTTACAGCTCCTCCTCCCCAAAAGAGTCTACAACCTTGTATCTTGGAGTTATAATTCATATACCAGTCAAAAGGCCTCCACAAAATTATCCACTTTTTGATCTTTGTCTTAAAATGCTTGGTTTTAAAACATGCCTTTCTTCAAGACTGACAAACCGAAGCTTACGTGTTGGGTAACTAATATTTTATGAACAGTTCAGGGATCTGTTACCACCAGAAGACAGCCTCTGGATATTTAACACAATAAACAGCAAGTTAACAACTGACAATGTGTATTTTACCTTGCTACCTTATTATTTTTAGATATTACTTTATTGATCTGTCGTAATGTCAGAGAAATAGTACAAAAAATCCAAAAGTACCTGTTCAGTAAGCAGAATGGAAATATTACTATATTTCTTGTTGGTTTCAGAGCCTAGGGATGCCAAACGCAACAAGAATAGGAGCAGGGCAGTTTCCCAAATGAGGAATTCCCAATTGTAAGCAGCACTCAAGAATGTCTTATGACCTTTTAAAACCTATAAAAATAACACAACAATCAGCAAACAAACTGGAAGTTATCTTTGCTCTAGAACAGAGCTTGCTTAATAATTTCACACAATTTAACATGGCATGCTTCACAGTAAGAACACCCGTCTGTCCAGAAGATCTAAGAGGATTACATGTTAGCACAATAGTATATGCTCTCAAAGCCGGGTTAGTTCAAACATTCAGGAACGGATGCATTTGCAGAATAAGAGGGATTTTTTTCCCTTTCATTTACTGATCCTTCTCTATTCTGCCTGTTGTACCTGTCCATATCCAAATTTCTCTAGCCTCAGACACCTAACTGCAGACGCTGAGCTCTCCATCTTCTTATTTTCTCATACTCAATTGACACATTTATCTTTTAATCCACAGTTTTCCAGGTCAAAGATAAATTACAGTACAATAAATTTGTGAAATATTAAAAAGTTTGGCAAAAAATATTATAAATTGTTCCAGTATCTAAGGTATCTAGAGTTCCCCAAGGTTTAAGATGACATAGAAGCTGATAAACAAAACAATATGCTTCATAGCACTACAATGCATGGGATGCTACCGGTTCGGCCCGGTTCTATAGAACCTGTAGCTGCAAAGAGTAGCTGACACCGAACCAGTTCGGTGCTTGGCCCACCCACCTGCCCAGGCTCTAGGCTGTCTTTATTCCCTGCTTTTCCCTCCTCAGCTGTTTTGCGCAGCACAGCTGAGGTTGAAAAAGCAGGAAGCGAGGATTTTCAAACGCTGGGCACAGGAGCGCAGCGCTTGTCAGCTGTCCAGGCGGCACAGCTGATGATTTTTTGCAAACACACACACATGATTTTCCCCAATTCAGAGAACCAGCAAATTGCTCCACTGACTGGCCCCTCCCCTCCCCGCCCACTCACTCCTTACCTGGCATGCAAGCCATCCAAGTTGCCTGGTTTGGTAAGTTGCTATTTTTCCTTTTTTCCCCCCCCAACCATTAGCTGTTCTGCTCTGCCAGGAGATTTAGATTAGCTAGAAAGCAGGAAATCCTTGGATTTCTTGCTTTCTAGCTAATCTAAAAGCAGAGCCGAACCTTCCTTAGGACTGAAGCTTTTCAGTGCAGACTCAGGTAGCCAATTGCAGATAGATAGATCTCTAAATTAATCTGTGATTCTGTGAGCAACTCAATCTGCCTGCCTGCTTTGGGGTAAAAGTTGCTCTTTTTTTAAAATAAAAAATTCAATATTTACATACATGGTGTGTTATGAGTTAATTTTGTGAGTTTGCTAGCAAATTGTATGAGTTTGCTTGCAAGCAAATGTTACGTGACAGAGTCAAGTAGCCAATTGCAGATAGATAGACTTCTAAATTAATCTGTGATTCTGTGAGCAATTCAATCTGCCTGCCTGCTTTGGGGTAAAAGTTGCTCTTTTTTATAAAAAAATCAATATTTACATCAATATTTATAATATTTACATACAAGCCATGCCCACCCGATCACATGACCACCAAGCCACATCCACAAATTAGGCCACACCCACAGAACCGGTTGTTAAGAAATTTGAATCCCATCCCTGAATGCATCTATTACAGCCCAATGACAGAGAAGCAGACCAGGCAAGTCGAATCTTTCTCAGTTTTGACTAGAGATGGTTAATATTGTCCAATCACAAAATTCAGAAAAGAATCATCTGCCATTCACTGTTCACTTTAACTTCAGCATGCAAACCAGGTGAGTTTCATGCCTTCTACTATCAAAAGGATAAATAGTCATAATTGCAGAGTGTAGGTTAAATGACTTCTGGGTAATGCTACCTGAAACATGCCAGATAGGATTAAGAGAGTTTGGGGAGTTTTAATTTGTCTTCAGCTCTGGACAACTTCATGCTTATGTCTACATACTTTTGAAACAGGACTTTTGAGAGGACTGTTCACTGCCTTCTAGAATATTTTCCTGACCTTTCGTAGCCCAGATTAATAAGCCCTGATCATTATAATGGTGTGCCATACTAGTACTATTCAGATACTATCCCTACTTTCTTTCTCCTTTTTTTCCCTTCGATGGAATGCTGCATACTGTGTATCAAAGGCCCAATTTCCTGACAGTATTGCTAACTAGTCAAGTATCTCGGCTGATATGTATGTTTATTTTGGTTGTTCTTATATTTTTATTATTTTAAAATGTTTTCAGTGTCTTAATTGTAATATATTTTTTGAATTGTAAGCCACCCAGAATCATTGACTGAGATGGGTGGCTATAGAAATTAAATGAATGAATGAATGAATGAATACATGCATGCATGCAAACCAAAAAAGGAGACTAACAAGTGTGCAAAGTATCATACAATATCCTTAATTCCAGCAGCATAATGCTTAGGATCTTCTAAGGCAGTTTAGAGCCCTATAAGGAATAAGCGACCCCAGTTTTCCAGTTGAATTTTAAAAAGGCTCACAAACATTATTGCTGATGCACACTAGGTAACTGAGAAAGCTAAAAAATGTCAAAAGAAATCACTATCTATTTCATTGATTATATAAAGGCCTTTAATTGTGTTGATCGCATCAAGGTGTGCAATGTGCTCAGAAAAATAGAAATCCTATAAAATCTCAGTGTTCTAATGAGAAATTTAAACACAGATTACAAAGCCACGGTATGAACAGAACATGGTGAAATAGATTGGCCTTGGGTTTTCAAAAGTGTGTAACAAGACTGAATACATTTCCCTTATTTATACAATCTATATCAGGGGTGTCAAACTCAATTTCATTAAGGGCCACATCAGGGTTGTGTTTTTTCAGACATATATACTTTTCAGACAAATATAAAAATTGAAAAATATATCTCATTACAAAAATTACCAACAGGAGGGGGGGAATCTTTGGAGACTCTCAAACATCACCTTCATCTTAATATAAATCCATCCTATTTTATGTGTTATTATTCTCTCTAAAAACAGACTAGAGTTCTTACCTGTGCACAGCATATGAAAGCAATGGAAAGAGCCAGTAAGAATATGGAGGATACAACTACATCAACAGACCGTTGAGGGCCTCGCCTCTGGCAAAACAAACATCCAAAATTGAAGTAACAAAGTATTGCATATAAAGAGTAAAAAACGTACTGCAATTCTTCACAGTCTAATTCTGTAGCAACTTAAGATTGTCTCCGCAATCTGAATCTTTTGTTTAAGACTGAGATTACAGTGCTTTTGTGTCACTTACCTTTAAGTAGGAGCGAAGGGATAACCAGATTTTAATGTTTTCTACTTTCTTGAGTCTGAAATGTGGGATTTCGTATTTTCTTGCTTTCCGAGCAGAAGTAATGTGGCTAAATAGTTTAGCAACCAGAAATCTCTGCAAAGAAAAGTGTCAATCAGAGCAAATTACATGCATACTGTTATCATTTGAAAATTACAGACAGATCTTTTCTGACTGCTACCTTTCAAAAGCTTTGCAGAACATTTTAATGATACGTATTTCTCTAGAACAGAAATGACATAAGAAGGGAAACTGATGCTTGTTTGTCATAGGGAAACATACAGTATAATGACAATATATACATTTTGCCACACGGCACAACCGTGTGGCACAAACAAGAGATAGCGACCAAGAGCAGTGCTTTCATTGGCAGTCATGTAGTTGTTTTATTTTTTTGACAACTAAGACTAACCTGCTTGTAAGTCCTCTCAGCAACACACATCATGAAGAAAAACATCCAGGTGAGGCAGAGGCGCTCCAGGAAAATGATCATTGCAAGGGTGATTATAGGGGGGAATGGAGGACCCCCACAAAAGATATGCAGAACTTCTTTTGCAGTCAAGGACCACATCTGCTCAAAGGTCTTCGAGTGGAAGAGTCGATAGAGGAAAGGAAGGAAAGCTAAACCAATGGTAACAATATTGCCCAGCCACTGATAACCAGATCCTTGGTGAAAAGCATTGACCTAATAGTGAGGAAACCAGTATCAGCACTGCATAATTTACACACTGTACATTGAGACATGCAAACCATTACATTATGAATTAGCGTGTTGTATCTAAAAATGCAGCGTTAACTAAGAATGGAAATCTCAACATTAGATTCAACTCAGTGAAGATGAGACTGCAAAATGGCATACATGCAAATTTGCAATCATATAAAAACCATTTTCTATAGTTTTCAAAAATGTAACCCACTGAATTTCCAACTTAAAATATCTACTGTATTTCTCCCCCAAATCTCACATTCTTGTATTAGTCACCAAGAGCCTCTCTCTGACAGAGATGGGTGGTTTAGAAGTATGAAATATAAATGATAGGCGATAGGTAGGTAGGTAGGCAGGTAGGTAGATAGACAGACAGACATAGATGATAGACAGATAAACAGAGACAGACACATGATGGACAGACAAAAATGAACATACTTTGCTTGTGGGTGCAGAACAAGTTTCACAGAATAGAACTGCCAGGTTTTCTATAAGAATATATAGAATATATAGAATGGGCACAATCCTTACCCTGCTCATGATGATTCCACTGATCTCCAAAACAGACATGTCTACTTTCTTGCACTCATTCCCCTCCCAGATGAGAGCACTCACTTTAGTAGAGGCAGGACTTGTATTCTGCAGCCAGAACAAGTGGTTCTAAGAACAAAAATACATATTGATGCCATATTCTGGGAAGCCTTTTTTTAATATGGGGAAAATGGCTTCAAAACAGCTCATTTAATGATTCTGAGCAAACTTTTGCCATTAACTTCATATGGGTCAAAAATGGTTCCTATCTGAGCAAGCATAGATGTTATTAAAGTCTAATTTCTATCCTCATTGAGCATTTCAATGTCCCATTGTCTGTAACAGAAACCTGAAATATTTGATAATTACAAGAACAAGAACTATGAACAGGTATGTCTGATATTAGTATATTCCAGATAGCATGGTATCCAGGGGGGTTTCCCCAGTATTTTTTTTTTATCACGAACTCCTTATTGTCAAGAGAATGTAGGTCCATCTATGCTGAGTACCATGGTAAATGGTATGATTTCTTCCTATGGGTGAAAGTAAAGGGAATAATTGGTGGGGGATGAATGAGGGGAGCCCTCCTCCTGCTACTGGAAAGAGCAAAGGAGGAAATCTCGGTGTCTTCGGGTATTTGAACGGCTATTTTTAAGGTTCGTGTGTGGAAGCTTGTGGTGAGATTTGGGTTGGTTGCCCTGTTGGTGCCTAGAGCTGTTGGGGCTAAAGTGCTTCAGTGGGGGATCTTCAAAAAAAATATGCAAAGAGTACAAAATACTTATTAATTCACATATTGACTGCTGCCAGGACTGCCTTTGCCCTGTGTTGGAAACAGCCATATACACCTGTAGAGGAACTGGTTATACACAAAGTTATGAATTGTGCTGAAATGGATAAACTAACGCTGAGTTTAAAAGATAAGGAAGCTTCAATATTTTATAAGGTATGGGAACAATGGTATAGCTGGATAGATTAGAGACAGATTAAGGATAGGTAATTATTAAATATAGAGTATAGATAGAATAAGAACTATGCACAAATTAATATTTGTAAATATTGCATAAAAGATTGTTATATGATAAGCACCACAAACAGCTGTTTTGACGAGTACTCTCCGAATCTCTATGAGAGACACTACTGCTTTGAGATTCACTACTATATTGGGCTTTGGACTCCTATGAGGAAATGATATATATTTTTATGTTTTTAATGTAATAAAAATGCAATAAAGTTTATTAAAAAAATAAAGTGCTTCAGGATACCCAACTTCTCCTTTCAGGGATTCATGGTAAGGACACTGGCAGGTTCTTGGTCCCACAGCTTGGAGAGGATTGGTTTGGGGGATATTATTGGAGGAGTGAAGGCAGTCCATAACATCACTGTGGTGTTGGACAGATATTGATGTTAAGAAATATGGCAAGAGATAGGGAGACATATTAAATGTTTTCTATAATGTAATAAATGGCTATAATCCTACCTACTTTTTGGTTGAAGGCACTTGGTAAGAAATTTAATAGTGCACTATCAAATCAATAATACTTTTTTAGTGCCCTTGAGTTAATGCTACTATCCTAACACTGGAAAGACTACAGCCATAGTTCCAGATTCAAACAAGAAAAGCTGGTTTAGATTAGATGAAGATAGGCACACAGTATTTAATAATAATCAGATATTTACTGTATTTGCTGATTTCCACCATATAAACCCAGGAAAAGTCAGCTTCTTTAAGAAGTCACCAAGAGATGCTATATGAGTGCCCCCATCTGTTCCAAATCACTGTCTCCACACATGTGGAATCTTGCATTTCATCAATGTGCAATCGATGTCTGAAAACTTTTGCTTAATTCTTAATTTCTGTGGTCACACAACAGGTTACAGTATACCTAAATTAAACTTTTTGTATTCCAGCTGGATGGTAAACCATCTCTATAGAAAAATCCATTTTATTTATCCAGATAAAATGGCACCATGATCTTACTGTATATGATTGGACAGAAATCCATAAAAAACTAGTACCACAGCTTGTTGACAGAGAACCTAAAGAGGAATTTCTGGTACTGTCTCCCTGATGTTTTATTTGATTAAGTTACCATCACAAGGGGAGGGGGGGAATGGTTTGCATGTAACAGACCTGCTGGAAAACATCATCCTTCAGATCTCGTTTGCTTGCTTTCTTGTCTTTTCCTTTGGTTTCCTCACTGTCACTGGTGAAAGAGGATCGGTATTCAGGTCCATGAAGTAAATCATCCCACAACATATCTTCTGTCTCAGAGTCATGACGAGTACTCTCCGAATCTCTATGAGAGACACTACCGCTTTGAGATTCACTACTATATTGGGCTTTGGACTCCTATGAGGAAATGTTCAGAAAATAATTATTGCAATCCTTATTCAATTAAAATCAGTCACTGAATTATGTATGACCTCTGTCATAATAAGATACTCAGGTGCAATCTTTTAGCTCATTTAAGTTACAATGGTACAGGCAACTGAAATGGGTGGCTATATTAAATCTGAATAATAAATAATTTTTAAAAAGCCCAGTCCCATGAAAAAGTACCAGCAAAATCCCAGTAATGTACTTTATCATGAAAACTGTCTGACACAACTTTGTACTTGACCCTTTATCCTTCTAAATACCACAAAATGTTAGTGTCAAATATTCTAATTCACCAGTGCTGCAGAAAAGTTAGAGTAAGCACTAATCAAGAATGATGCACTGATAACACTATTATTCGTATGACAGAGTAGATATACCTACTTCCTGATTCCAAAAATACTGAAATATTAAAAAAAAACATGAACAAAAACATGGAACATATTTCTACACAGAGATTAATTCTGAAACATAAAAATGTTGTTTTGCAAATGAGTTTATGTCCTGCTCATACTTTAACTAGTATTAAACCATGAATGTTCTACAGAAATATCAGCATTTAGTTCACTCCACAACAGCTGAGAAATAAAGGAGAGTTTGTTCAGATTAATGAGAACTTTTTTTGCTGATGTAATTTGACTTCCTGTTGTTCAATTTCAAAAACACAATTCTCAAGGATTCCAGAGATCTCAAATAAGAGCCTGAGAATTGCAAGCATCCACATACTCTGTCCTTATGTGAATGTGCTAGTTGGTTTTGATTTAATACACTGCATAAACTCAGCTATTAGGATTACCATTAAATGTGAGTCAGGTCACCAGTGTCTATTCCCCAAACATGATTAAAACGTTCGTTGCCTATGTCATTCCAGCTCCACTCTCAGATGATGCTGAGAAGAATCTTAAATCGGAATAATAATAATAAAAAGGATCAGCTGCATCCAGTAGCTTCACTTCACACAGGACATATTGTAAATTTTAATTCTGAATACCTCTTGAGGAATTGTTAGTTCAAGTTCTGATTCCACCAAGCTGTCCGAATCTTGCATAGATTTCACAACCTCCTTGACCTGCCTCAGATCACAAAAAGAATGAAGAACTAAAATGTAGACAGTCTTCAAAGCGAAAAAGATTTCATATACTGTATCAAAAATACAATATTGTATTGTATTGTACTTATTCAAAAGATTAATCTATATAGGTCTATAAGTAGTCCTCGTTTGCCAAATGCCTTGTTTAGTGACTGTTCAAAGTCGTAATAGTTAAAAAACAGCTTTGCAACCAATCCTTGTACTTATGGTTATCACAGCACCTCATGGTCATATGATCAGCCTTTGCAAACTTCACAATTAAACTTTCACCAAACAGAATGAATGGTCTTCATGTAAAAGTGAAATTACAATGTAACATCTGACTTAACAACAGTGGTGGTTTGCTTAATAACAGAAGTAGAAATGACATAAGTCCAATGCAGTCATGTAATTTTTCACTCCATCACTGCAACACTTAGTGATTGGGTTGACAGTCCCAATTGTGATTGGTAAGCGAGGAACATATATAATACACACACACACACACACACACACACACACACACACACACACAACTGCGCTCTCTTATTATATCTATGAAGAGAATCAACTCTTAGAGAAAACCTTCACTCTTCCCTATTTTTCAACTTTCTGTACTGCTGCCTGGAGGAATACAATAAGACAGATCTTTTCTTGCAAGTGACTTAGTATCAGGATCTTTCAAGTGAGTGAAAGGGCAATATCCACAGTTTCCATACATATAAAATCCAAGGATTAAAATATTTAGGTTCTTTTATATATAGAAAACTCAGGGAACTTCCTAATCAGGTTGGGAGAGTGGCAGTTAATAAGAAAACAATTTACCTTCCTAACTAGAGATGGATGGTTCAGAAATACTCATTTAGATACTTTGTTTTGTTTTTGAACTCTTAGTTATGAAGTCAAGGAGGAGGCATACAACACTGGCCCTAATCCTAAATGATGCCCAGAATCCCAACCAAGAACTGAATGTTATATATGCTATGAATATGATTTTCTACCTATATCACATTGTTATATGAATTATGATCATTAAATATCAAGACCAATAAACATTATTCTTTGTCACATAGTACATAGTTAAACTAGAATTCAGTGCTGGCAGCTATGGTAATATTGGCCTATGTGGATAGTTTTAAACAGGGAGAGGTTCATGGGGGATGAGGTTATCAGCAACCATCATTTTTATGGATGTTTACCATATCCTGAATCATAGACAGTGTAATTGACAAATGACAGAAGGGCTGTTGCTTTCCAGACCATTTTTCTGAACTTTAAACATATACTGTCTGATACAAAATTGGATTATATGGCCCATGACCTCATCCAGCAGAATTCGCCTGAAATACTTATGCAAGTATGTCCGAGGCAGTAATACAAATCAGTTAAAATATAATTCCAATGATATTTTGTAGTGGTACTAAATGACCCTTTCTGCCAAATCTTCTCTGCCCAACAATTGGTTTTGTTTTAAAAATGGACTCTAAATGGGTAGAAATGCTAAATATCTAAGATTATTTGTTTAAAAACAGAATATAGAGACATTGAACAATAATTTTTCAGTTTGCTTCCAGAGATCCCTAAATAAACACCAAGGAGTATAAATTATAAACATGACAGAATATAATCTACAAGTTCAGGGTTAGGATTGTTATACTTTTTTTCTGGTGTCCTGCAGATATGGGTGTGATTAATTAGTAATTCTAGGAGTTGCTGTACCAACACAAATGGAGCATTCAACAGTTGAAGGCTGACCTAATCTCTTTCTTAATTTGATTAAAGTGAAATGCATTTGTTGCCTAAATAAGTAAATAACAGTTTTTGATAACATTTACCTGTGATACGGACTGATTTGTTGAAGCAGATGGAGAAATAAGAGAAGACTTTTTGCCCTGATCTTCATTTGCAATTATACTAGGGCCACCTTCTACGCTTCTGCGCAGCAAAACTACCTGACCCGCATTATCTGTCTCTTCCTCACTTGACAAGTCATCAGAAATGCCTGAATGCCTAGAAACAGTCTAAAAGAACATTAATCAGGATTAACATAAAGTGGATGAGATGGTTCCACATTCATGCAACTTATTTGTACCATAGGAACTAACCAGTAACAATTTCTTCTATAGCACTACAAACATAGATCAATACAAACAATCTATACTGTAATACGATGTTACATGCTATATAGCTGCCCAATTTAGAAATGAATAATCTAATGACATGATTGAAAAACTCCTCCACAAACACTCCAGTGTACTTGATGTAGGACAACTTTGTGGCTATGGATCCATCTATCAGTTTTCCTGAAGCCAATTCCATGTATACTTTCACCATTATGACTGAGAAGTAATGTTAAACTATGATCTAGTAGATTGGGTTTTCAATTTTGTTCATCTCTGAAACTCATACCATTCCTTTCAGCCTAGCTTAGCTCATATAACTGCCATGTGGATAAAATAAGGAAGAGGATCTAAGTGCAGTATGCCAAGCTTATTTCCTTGAAGGAAAGTTCAAGGAAAGAAACAAAAATTATAAATGGTTTTTTCTTCTTCCTGGGTCCAAACAAAGTTCCTATATTTTAAGAACTTATAACAGAAGTGGAATTCAGCAGTTTCTGACCAGTTCTGGAGAGCCGGTAGCGGAAATACCACCTCTGGTGGTAACCAGCAAATACTACCTCTGACTGGAGATTTTACAGTATTCTTCCCCTGCAACGCCCACCAAGCCATGGCCACAGAACCGGTAGTAAAAAAAAAATTGAATCCCACCACTAATTTATAACAATCATTTTAATCCAAGATGCATTGTTGGAAGAAGTTAATTTTAAGCTAAGTACATAAAAAATATTGTTTACTTTATCAAGCAATAATATAACTTTATACAGAAATTATAGCATGTAATTGTATTATATTTTATTTTCTATAATGAAATGATAGTAATATTATCTGTATCTATAGTATAATTATAAAACTGTTTTGGAGAGGTTTTCAATAATTTTCAAATTCAGATGAGTGGATAAGATTTAATCTGTGCACTATTGGTCATATTGAGACAATTTGACATTTGCATCAGCAAACACATCAAGTTCAAACTTTACCTGTTTTCTATCTACGTTTAACTGCATTTCAGGATCCTTTGATCGCTGAAAACTGTGTTCAGATCTGGAAATCCTATGTTTTATACCACTGCTATGCTCTGTTTCGGTCCCTTTATCAGCTACTCGTTTTCCCCTTTTCACCCTATGGAACGAAATGCATGGCTTCCTTATTCACACTTTTAAAATCAAGACCTAATTGAGAAGGTACAGAATTTACCAGGATTTCTTCATATGAAATTTGCAGAATTATGAAAATCAAACTGTACAAGTTTCAAATCCAATCCTCATTATGCAGAAAATGAATCTCTGCTTAATTATTTTAAAATCTATCAAAACTTACGTTACACAAAGCTGAAGTTTGCCATCTATCTGACACAGAATGTGGTGAGGGAAAATAAAGGAATCCCATTCTTCCTGATAATACTTTTACATAAAGCAAGGAATACTGTGCACATTGGCAAATTAAAGTTACACATACACTATTGGATGCTGGAATATGAACACGGCAATAATAATTTAAATTCCTCCTTAAATATGAAGGCTCTGATGAGTCTTGAGTCATTCATGTCTTAATAGAATCTATTTCACAGGACTGCTGTAATCTATAAGAGGGAAAACTTTTGTGCTACCTGAGTTGCCTCATAAAACTATGAGATAGGACTGAAGAAAGATCCAGCAGTTCTAGAAAGACAATTTGGCAGATCCTTTCCAGAAATGCACATAACTGGCCATAATAAATTACATGATGTAATCTTGGAGCAATATCAAAGTCAGAGTTAAAATCCAGTTAAAATTTCAATCTTCTCTTATCTTCTAAACGAACTAATATTACCAACCGTACCCTTCCCTGCTCCTTCGGCGCAATACTGAATCAAACAAGCTGCTAATCCTGGATGAGGACTCCAAGGGCTCCTCACTTCTGCTGATTTTGTCAGAGGAAGCATAGAGGTCACCTCCTACAAATTTGCGTATTTTTCTAAGTTTGAAAAAAAAATAGCATAAATTTGAGTTTGCTCCCCTCTTCATACCCAGAGAATTTTTAACATATCTGTACCAGGGAATATAAATATTACCAGATGCCAATTATGAATAATATACATATTCATAAATATATGTCTTTTGAGATTGCCATAGGATTTAGGGTGCTAAAAGAATTAAGTGTCTACAATACCTATCTGTAGGGCAAATAGGTGGCATAGAAGTTTAATTAATAAATAAAATAAATAAATATGTGCATATGCCCATTAATACAAGTATAAGGATCTATAAGCCCAGAATTGCTCTATCGGGGAAATGAGGATTCCAAAATGAGAAATAAATAAATACACATTTATGCATGTAATAATGAAAATGAGACTTATCCCAAACAGTTTCAATTGATTCTAGACTGAACTGATGATCCTGGTATTTTCTAGTATTTTATACTGCATTTCACTTTCACTACCCCATTTGTATATTTTCTGAAAAATGTTAGCAACAAAGTATGTTAAAAATTCTTCCACGCATGAAATGAGGAGAGTTTAAACTATATAGTTAACTATCACGTTTAATTTTCTGTCATACTAGCCATTAAATTAAAAACTGATGAAGTACTACTATGAAGGAGAAATCCAGACCTCTAACAATGCCTCTGATGATAAAAGGGAAAAAATATTCTGAGATTAAGCAAGCTCCAAAATGAATTATTTCTGCAAAAAATTAACTTAGTATCCCCTTGATTTTTGTCTACTATTTTTAAAATGCTCAAGCAATAAGTTGGTTGTTTTTATTATTTCATGCTTTTATATTTCATGCTTATGCATATTGCCAGTATCATTTTATGGAATCTGCTGATACTTTTATACTCAAGGGTGGTATGTAAACAGTATGAATTAGTACATATTCTTAAAGTTAAATATAAAAGCTGTAACTTATTAAAATACGTAAAACAAGTGAATTGGCAATAAAAGTGCAAGCGAAGTCACAGTTCATCCCCTGCATATTATAAGAAAAATGGCCTTTAAGCCGGATTCTGATTTGAAAAGGAACATTCCTTCCAAAATATAGACATTCATCTCTCACCTCCTTCTTCGACCAACACCGCTCCCATCACTTCCTGAAGATTTAGATAACTGAGTAGAAACTATCTGACAGTGCACAGTTCCCATGAGTAGCATAAGGCACAATGGTCCAATGATTTCACTTGCACTCACTATTGGCATTATGGAATATAATGTAATTGCTACAACTGAAAAAAAATGTATATGAATTGTCTAACAAGTAAAAATAGAATTTGTACTATACTTATAAATGCATACCATGCAAAAATGCTACATATAAAAATTGCATTAACAAAAATGTTGTGAGACTTCTAGCAATAAAAGAAATGTAATATAATAACCTCCAGAAACTACTGCATATGTAACCTTAACACTGAGTTTCTCCTTTGCTGTCTGGTGAAAATATGGCTTTAGAATTGATTTATCATGGACTGAATTTAATACCGGACCAACTACTGACTGCTACTCCTTTCTCCCATGAGTCTTTTTCAGATCCAATATTTGACGGTAACTTAATCTGCATTTGCTGAGATCCCTTCCTCAAAACTTGCCATGATACAAATTACAATAATTTTAAATGGAAATAGATATTGAGGCTATCCAAAGCCTTCAAATCAGGTGTTTTATATACAGAAATGTTTGTAAATTCACACATATGAAAAGGCAGCCAGGAGCAGTTTATAAAATATTTTTGCAGGTCTTACAAATGATATGACTATCTTAATATGTTTTTCCAAATATATAAAATTTTATTGGCAAATAATTTATACAAAATTAAAGAACCATAAAACTTAGGAAATAAAGAAGGAAAGTGATATATAAGAGGAAAGGAAAAACTGAGAAATAGACAAGAAAAAAATCTAAAGAAGAAATTTTCTTTGCAACAATTACTATGGTAGCATGATTACCATTCCCACCCTGCCAAATTAGTTATCCTTTCTTAGCATAATTTCTCCTACCCCTACTTACCTTGTAAGAGGTACAGTACTAACAGCCACATAAATATACGCCAAGAAGTGACTTGTATCCACCATTGACTAAAAAATGGGAATAATATAACTCGCACAATTCCCTTCCTTGTAAGTGACGTCCAAGGAATTTCAGGTTTAGCTTTGGCAAATGTAGAACCTGAAAATTTTGTGTAATGAAAACAAGTACTTTAGAAGATAATCAAGAAAAGTGCATTAGCTGTTATTTTTTTCTTACTCAAACCAAGATTCTCTTAGAAAATGAGAACTGTTAAGACAAAAGAACAGAACTTTGATTCCAGCACCAACTTGAAATTTAATCCATACAAGTCAGGTGCGCTGTTTTCAAGCCTGGTATAGCACTGGAATGGAAATGCCAGGATTGGGGGTCAGACTGGGAAGCATCTGCCACGCCACTTAAGAAAAAAAAAACCCAGAAGACAATGGCAAAGCACTTCTGCCCTATTGCCAAGAGAGCTTCCAAGAAATCAGCAAGAGTTCAGTTTTCCTTTAAAGAGACTGTACATTTAAGAAATCTAGTTAAGAATTGCATGCTAAGTTTGTTTTAGACTGGGATACACTGTTTTTGAAGGAGAATATTCTCTGTTCCAGTGTATCTAGGGTTCTTTATGATCTTGCATTGTCAAACGGTAGCTAGAAGTACTTCTGTAAAATTTTGGCAGACCTCTCCTATTTTTTGTAGGAATGTCATCTGTTACAAATATTTTATTAACAAAGATTATTTTTATAATATGGGCACAGAATATTTCAAAATTTCAGCAAGGTACAAAACAGAGAACCAGAACATTATCTTTGAAGGAATGGGATTTTCAACATTGGGATCACCAAGAAGTCTGACTACTAATTTTACATAGGATCTTGAAATATTTTGTTTTGCTTAAATATAAATCTCTGTTACCTTTTAAAATGCCTTCTGGTTTAATTAGTTTTTAATTATTCTAAGCAGCCATGAAAGTCTAAAAAGCACAACAGACATTTTATTTATAATAAAATTATAAATAAGACAAGTACTAAATACTATATATGTATAATAGGTATTACTTGTCATCAACTGCACAGAATATAAATGTTTTGCAAATTTAACGCAAGTGATTAAATTTTCAAATGGTCCATACCTCTTATTAAATCAACATCTATCAAGTCAGGCTGTATGTGGCCTTTCTTTCTGGGTTTGCTTTTGAAGCCCTGCACATTTAGTAATAAACAATTAGAATATTTTATCATTAATATATTGTTTCCCTGATCTCACAGATTACATATTTTATTACAATTACTCTTTCATAATCATGTTCATATGGGAAGCACGGAATAACCTTCTCCAATTCCCAGCTCTTAGGAGAAAAAGGTAAGGAGTCTCTGCAGATTTTATTCCGCTAGTCATTGCTAACTCGGGGGGGGGGGGGATGTGTGTGCTAATCTCCATTTCAAGACCCTTGAGCCAGCGTTGTCCAAAGACATTTCCAGTCATGTGACCAACATGACATCACAGATCACGTTCCCTTTCCACCAAAGTAGCACCTATTTATCTACTTGCATTTGTATGCTTTTGAACTGCTAGGTTGGCAGGAGCTGAGGCAAGGATAGGAGCTTACTCCATCATGTGGAGTTCAGGCTTCGAACCTGGACTGCTGGCTTTCCAGCTATATGTTAATTGCTGAGCCACCATCTCTTAGGGTATTTGGCTGAGAATTCTATAAATTGTCATCGAACACCACATAAAGATTAATCACGCAGGGCAATGCTTTATCAGAGAATATCTGCCACTTTTTTCACATAAAGATGTATAAGCTAAGTAATCATTGCACATCAGATAAATCTCACTGGCTACAATAATGCCACTGCATTATAATTTATAAATGGACTCCCGCATGTCTTTGCCATTCAGAATCTATCTGGAAAAAAAAGTAGACCGTATAAATCAAGTGCTTGACATTTCTCTGAGAAGGTATCTATCATAACTAGGAAAATAATAATACTTCTCTAGTAGAAGAGCATATATGTAACTCAGGTTGAACTATGGAGTCTTGGTGCTCTCTAAATTTGTTTGCTCATTACCCAACTAGGTAACAACATCAATGCTAGTGAGTGTGGAGTTTCTTCCCTGCTTACAAACCATAGCTTGCCCTGCCGTGTCAGTGGGAGTAGGGTTTTCTCCCTGAAAGTTCCTTGATTAGTGTATACTTTTCTGCCTGTTTGTCTTGTGTGTTGACCTCCATTTATCTGGCTGCTGGAAAGCATGTGTTCTGATTTTTTCTTTCTTTTTTATTGGTGTGGTTTATCTCTATCTGCCTTTTGATGGCTCAGACTATAGCAAGATTTCATAATATTTTCTCCCCTCTGTAGCCCCAGCCAAATATGAACTTAACTATTACTTAATCAGAGTAGTTTAAAATGCAATTTTTTTCAGAATTTTCAAAAATTAAAAATAGCCATATCTTATTCTACAGGAGGATACTTTCCATCAGCAAAATTATAAACATCCGATATAGTCTCTGACACTGACGATCTCTAATTGTCAGTTTCTCATGACATTTGACCATCCATAAATATTGCACGGCAGAAACTAAACCAAGTTTTAATTTGTATCTTTCATGTAAACTTAAATATTAATAAAAGCTAGGATTTTCATGTTCTTCACAGAATATCTGCTGTTTAGAATCATATCCAAATAATTTTTATCACTTTGTTTTCTATTGGGTTCCACCTTGTTCCCAGTCAGTAACATCTACACTACCAAATCTTCACTGCAATACTGTACAATGTCTTCTAATTTCTCTTAATGCTTCTCCTTCAGCTCAGACCTTGATTCACTTATGCATCCAAATACCCATCAAGCACAGAACCTCCACTTATGATGATGAGAAAGAATTGCGGGACTGTCTTCGACAATTGCACAATAGAAAGTCAATGAATATTTTACAGCTTTTATATTGCCCATATGGGCAATATAAAACACTATATTCACTGAATCCCTTATATTTTACCTGCCATTCTATTTGTTAAATACAACATATTTCAGCCATGTCTTTCCATAGGGCCATAAAATAAAGAATTATGAAGTTCAACAAAATTGTCAGCAATTTTTTTTACCTTCATCTCAGTCTGTTCTATGGACTTTTCCCATATTTGTTGATCATAAGCTCCAATCTGAAAAAAAGCAGCTGTTTCTCTTTTACTTTTAACAATGTATTAGTAAAATAATATTTAAACATTTACATTTGAGTATTTACAAATATTGGTATAGAAATTTGATAAATAAAAATAAATTTACTAAGTTATTTCCTAGAATTCCACTAATTAATACTACATAGAAAGCAATATTTAGTTTTATCAATATATTACAAACAGAGAAAGCAACAAATGTAGAGTTTGTACAACTACTTTACTGAATGTAAAAATGAGGCACAGAAAATACACATACAAATCTGATAGTAGGTACAGATAAAATAAAAAATCCTGATTTATGTCTGAAACCAAGCAAAAGAATCACTCCAAATATTTTAACAAGAGTTCCAGTAATCCTTTGTTAAAGAACTGAAGCCTAAACATTTGAAAGTACCCTATTGGCAGTTTTTAACAATGGTTTAAACAATGTGCAAATTCTAAAAAAAAAAAAAACCTCCACAGTTTAAAGCTATGATGTAATCTTAACTACAGAGCAAATATTTTAAGCTCAAAAAACAACCTGACCTTTTTTTGGTACCAAGCGATAGCGTCTTCATCATTTGAAGCCATCTGGTTTCTCAACTGCCAACTCAGCTGTACAATTAGGTAAGAAATGCATAGTTTAGACTTTTTAAAATATGTTGCACAATAATTCTGTGTATTTTTAGTAGAAATGTGGAAAGGAATACAAAATCTCTTTATAAGCAAGACCCACCTTTTCATTTCTTTCTTTCTTCCCTCTAAAGCCTGTAGAACAAGGTTTCCCAAACTCTAAAGTATCCTTCCTTTGGAGAGAGGTGGAGTGAGTCCAAGGATGGTATGAGAAACCTTTTACATTGTTACAATCAATCCACCCTTCCCATTGTATTGATTTGTGTTCATCTGGCTTTTAGATTTTTAGAAGAGGTGTATATATTAACATTACGCTAAAGATGGTAGGCAGAGGATGGCAAAAAGTTTAGGAATCCCTGCTAAGTATATGTGGCTGGTATCACAATGTTTTCACCAGAGTGGACATAGCTAAATTTTCAGTCTTTTTACTGTGGACGTGGAAAGATTAAAGAACAAAATGAGTGCCTTAGATTCACAATTCTTTTATCCATTCTTAGTCCCGAATAAGAAAGGTGCTCTGGGGATTGTCAAAATATAACTGGTTTCCATGTGGCCGATGGACATTATTCACCCTGATTGAAACAGACATGTTTTAGGAAGTAATCATCCCTCCTCCACCCCCAGTAATAGCAATAGCACTTAGACTTATATACTGCTTCATAGTGCTTTATAACTGTCCGTAGGCAGTTTACAAGGTCAGCATATTGCCTCCAGCAACCTGGCTCCTCATTTTACTGACTTTGGAAAGATGGAAGGCTGAGTCAACCTTGAGTCGGTCAGGATCGAACCACTAACCACAAATTTCCCTCACTGGCTGGAGAGGAGAGCCCTGTTGTCTGTTAAGTCACTCCCGCTTCAGTTATCTTCAATCCTTAGCACTCCTTCTTACCAACTAGCCTTGACCTGTGATTCAAGGTCTTTTAAACACTACCATTTTAAACCCAGGGCCTTCTCAGCTTCATCCTTTTTGTCACATTTCATCTGGGTCTAACTGCCCCCCACAAAGTCTTAACCATTTCCGACACCACTTCCCCTGTTGGTTCTGACCTCAGCCTGCAGACCCTTAAGTGATCAATCTTCACTTCTCCACAATATGTAAAAGAGCAGCTCCAGGACTCTTACCTTTCAAAGCCTCTTCCTGTTACCATGGAAACAGAAGGATGCAGCAGAAGAGAACATTCTCAACTGCTTTTTCCTGGATCATCATGTTGTGGCAGACAGCATTAGCCAAGTGCTGCATCCACAGATCCTTTAGTGCTGTTCTGAAGAAATGTGGCAAACACCGCAACTGATCAGCAAACTAAGATACAGGCAACTGTACAAAGGAGGTCCAAGCTGTAGGCTGCAATGATGCATGTCCTAGGAATTAACAAGTTGTTGAGTCCCGTTATTATGAATTTAAAGGGCAACAGTCATTCATGGTATTGGAAAAGAGGGACACTGTATCAGTGGCAAGTAGCAATTGACAAAGAGAAGAAAAAAATTAAAATTAGCTTGGGAATCCAATGTCGTCTGATCACCAAACCTAAAAAAAGTGTTTAGAAAGAACTTAAATGAGAAACATTTATAATGCATGTTGCTCATGTTACTGAAACATCAAGAAATTCTAGCACACGCACATTTGCAAATTATGGGGATCAAGAAAACAAGTCAAGCTTGTTTGTCTATGCAGAAGAATGGTATATTACAAAGGCTGGAAAATAAGATTCCCTTGACTCCAAAAAATTAGTTGTTACAATATTTAGAATAGAATAACAAATTTGGAAGGGACCTAGAGGTCTTCTAGTCCAACCCCTTGCTGAGGCAGGAAACGCTATACCATTTCAGATAAATGGCTATCCAATCTCTTCTTAAAATCTTCTAGTGTTGGAGCATTCACAACTTCTGGAGGCAGGTCCTCTCCAATTAATTGTTCTGTCAGGAAATTTCTTCTTAGTTCTTTTATTTATGCCTATCCCACTATCTGAAATTCCTTGAACCTACCATGATACAACTATAAAGTTTCGAAACAAGTAATGATAAAAGGCACCCTAGAACCATTCTTTTTTCTTCTTAAAAAAGATGCAGGTGGTCCCTTTATTCTCAGACCTGGCTACTACATCATATTAATATATTTGTTCAAAGCAGAACTTAAATACAACAGTAGACCCTTGCCTTGCCTTTTAAGAATGGGGAACCTACAGTTCCTCCAATATTATTATTCACAACAAAAATAACCACGATTAAAGATATTGAGAGTAGTATTTTAACTCCATGGAATCTTCATTCTTGCTCTTTCTCATTTTATTTTTTTTAAATCCCTAAATTTAATTTAATTGCTTGAGTCATTTTATTTATTTATTTGGTCCTTATCTCAGAGTAGGGAGCTATAAATTTTATAATAAAGTTACCTGAAGAAAGAAGCAATGCAGAAGCCAGGATAGTTTTTAAAGCAATCACGCTATTTTTAAAATATAAATCTTAGTCAAGAAGAAGCTAGCAATCGGGATACAAAAAAGCCAAAGAAATCTTGTGAGGTTCAATTATTCAGTTCCCAGGATTACTTCAAGTCTCTTACCAGTTGAGTTGTGTTGTTTCCTTGCTGTAAATGCTGCCAAAAAGAAAGTAAAAGTAAACACATATAAGTAAATTCGGGAAAAAAGCACACTACCTTCCACTATATAATCCACCTGTGAAACTTAGATAACTTTTATCTAAGATCTAGCTTGTTTTGTAATCCACTTAGTTTTGTTTTCTTTTCTTTTTTGAAGTACATAAAATTGAGTCAAAGTTCCTTCTACATTTTAACCCTACCTGTTTTGAAGCTGGATATATAATGGCCCTTATACATAGATTACACTCCAGAAAATAATATTCTTTAATTCTATTAAATGAGAATTATAATATTAGCTGATATTAAACCTATTCAAAAGATTTGACTTGGCCACAATAATGGCCATCTTTTTTGGAAAAAAACAACCAAAAATGCTTCCCCACTATCTAGAGAATGGAAATTAAAATAATTCAGTTTTACAATATTGCAATTTACTAATGTTTATACACGTATTTTTGTCTATTTATTATATCTGATTTTGCTGTAATTTATTTTCATACTCTTCTCTTAGGAACTTTAAACATAATAGCTTTCTCAACAACTGTGTATTTTAACCTCAGGATAATCCTAACAAGTAACGTAGGCTGAGAATGAATACAACTTGTTATGATCAATCTGGATCTCTATAGACCAGGCTGATACAGTCTTGATTTACTATGCCATTTGCTGCAAGTGTATGTGTGGGGAGGGGGTTAGCTTCTATATTGTGCTCATCTTTGAATATGTATTGTGAAAATTAATGTGGACATTACTTTAAAATTCTGAATTATTCAACATTTGTAGGTTAGCAGAACTCTATTATTTCCATATTATAGTGGAGAAGCAGGAGGGAGGGTAACAATTTAAAATAAGACTATATGGCTGCTAAAGATATGGATAACATTTTATTAACTTCTAGAGAAAAAGTTTTGCATTACCTTTTAATACAAATAGTTTAATGGTAGCATTTTTAAGTTATGGAGAACCATGAGGAATGAAAGTTGGAATAAAAGTTGAAAAATGCCAAGTGTGTGTGGGCATGCATATAATCCAGTTTTTAACCAGTAGAATCCCAAAAGCAGAACTCATGTCAAACAATAAATTACAAATTGTTATATTTATATTAATATACCATCACTGTAAGTTGGTAGATCTTTTGTGCAGTTAATTTTACAATAGATAACATTAGTCTTTATGCCACATTTAAATGGGTTCAAAGAACTTCATAAAACAGTATCTCATTTTAAGCCAATCAGACTTGTAATCACCAAATTGCACAGATGCTCATGCTCTAAATAGGCTGATTAATTTATACAATAATCTTAAGAGAGTCTGGCACATTAAAGTAAAAATTCATTACTGCACTTACTCTTTGTCTTTGGAAGTCTGCAGTTTTAACTGTATGCAACTATCCCTGTAAATCCTTTTCTTCTAATTGTAGTTGCTAAAAAACTGAATATGTGCATGGGCCATAGAATATTTATAATATAAATATTAACTTAATTAGTAAAAACAGTTCTTCTTTGAAAGAAAATGGGTAGCAAATCACTTCAATTTGGATATATAAATATAAATATATTAGTGTCCTCTCCATCGTTGTCATGGGTGCTAGCTATAATGAATTAATATATATAATAGATAAGGGTAGAAGAGCAAACAAATCATTTCCATCACTCTTCCAAACATGTCCAAGATCAGCCATTAAATAGTCATAAATGTATTAGATTAATTTAATATCTTGAAAGACAGTTCTTATCTATAGGGCAAGAATAAGCACATATCAGCAAAAATGCACATCAAAGTACTCTTTGTGAAGATGCCCAAAATCAAGTATACAACGAAACAGGTTTGGGAGCACTAGTTTGATTACCCTAGGAAAAGGAAAGCTGCATATTTGAGGAAAATTAAATATTCTATCACTGTCAACAATTGGAAGATAAGCCGGTAAATTTAAAATACAAAAGGAAGTAAATCGGGGTAAGCTCACATACTTGATCTACGAGTTGCAGTTGCCAAGTCTGAGGGATGGTCTAACCAGGGGTCTCCAACCTTGGCAACTTTAAACCTGGCTGGGGAATTCTGGCAGTTGAATTCTAGGAGTCCACCAGGCTTAAAGTTGCCAAGGTTGGAGACCCCTGGTCTAAGCCTCCCAAAGCAAATCCAGAATGACCTTTCATGCGCTGTATCTTAAGGGAGTCTTGTGCATTGGAAATCAATGCAGTTTTCCATTTCTAACCCCCACTCCTTTAACCTTAAACTATCCACTATTGACCTCACCCCATTCCTAAGAGGTCTGTAAAGGAGGTGCATAAGTGCACCATCATGCCTACCATCCCTGTTCTATTGTCCCCATTTATTCATACCTATTTCCTCAAATAAACAAATAAAAATAAATAAATTCAGCAGACCATTTAATGAACTCTCTTCACAGCATCAACGAATGCTTGCCACATCAAGCATTTCTTAGGGCCACATCTGAACTGAAGATCTGCGAGAGGCGTGTTGACCACTCCGTAAATCAACTAGCGTAAATCACCAGCGTGCCTACCGTCCCTGTCCTACCGTTCCCATTAATTCGTACTCATTTATTATGTATATACTTATACCAGTTTGTCCTTATGTGTTTACATGTTATGTTCATACTTGTTTTCTCATACATGCTTGACAAACTAAACTAACTAAATAAAATTAAATAAATATCCTTCTTCCTTGTTCGGTGACCCACAATCCTAAATCTCCTTCCTCGACTTCTTAGCTTCCCCCACTGGCTCAATTCCTTTAAACCTTCCCTTTCAGCGTTGCCACCGTAAGCCCTTTCTGTTCCTTAGTTCATTCCTGCCCTCCAGGAAAAGCCTCAAATGTTTTCCTGCATCGGTTCTGGCTTCTCAACTGCCCTTGTCTACCTTTAATCCACAAACGCCCCAAGAGCCTTTAGACGCTACCGTTCGGTCTCTTTCTTACCGTTCCCAAAAAAGGCGGCTGGAGAGAGAGAGAGAGATTGAGAAGGCGTCCGTATTTCTCCGGACCATCCTCTTATGACAGGCAGCATCAATCAAGTGTCGCATCCACCGATGCGCCTGTTTCGGTATTTCGTTACGGGAAAAGGAGGCGGAAGCAATCAAACGCCGACATAGAGATGCCCGAGCTACTGCTTGGGCCAGCGCGTTCTTTGAGAGTTACGAGGCGGATGAGATTCGCCTTGTTATCGAAATACAGAGAACGGCCAGGAGGCATTCTGTACTCCGCGGAAGGATAGGAAGGAATGGGCTTTTAACGACGTCGAAAAAACACCACCACCACCAAAAGACTTTTAGATGTAGCAGGAGTTTAAATTTGGTTTGGAATCCAGGCTATGCTCTTAAAAAGAGCAAAATTTAATGTGACAGGCTAAAATCTATTAATAAAGACATAAATAAGGGTTTGGGAACTTTTTGTCGATAGAATAGATCGGGGGTCTCCAACCTTGGCAACTTTAAGACTTGTGGGCTTCAATTCCCAGAATTGAAGCCCACAAGTATTAAAGAATTCTGGGAGTTGAAGTCCACAGGTCTTAAAGTTGCCAAAGTTGGAGAGACCCCTGGTATAGACAGATGCAGGTAAGGATTTTATGGAGTTAGTTATGCAAAGGTAAAGCCTGCAAACCATTCTTCGGGTTAAACGTTCTAATTCAATACAGAGAAACGAGGGGAGGTGGGTGGGAGTGAGGGAGTGGGAAATACTTCAAACATCAATTAAGCTAACAAATGATCTACAAGTTTCTTCTTTAATTTCCCAAAAGCGAATGTTCGTGCAATTTGAGACCGTATTTTCGTCAAAATCTCAATAAAAGTCTTCTAATTTTTATTAGGGAAGGGGAAATACATCCTCTGAGCAGACACATTGAGCACTTCCCTAATTCAGTCCCATTTGATTAGAAGAGGCAAAGATTTATTAAACAGCTGATAGCCCTTTGCCATTTCAAATTCTGCTCATATCCTTAAAACTTAAAAGCTGGAAAAAGCAAGTAGTAACAACCAATATGCTCTCCTTTTCTTCAAGGTAGTGGGAATTCCACTTCAATATCCCTATTTTTAGTCCATTCCAAACATAGACAAAAAATATTCCAACCTGTTCTGGGCAGCTGCAATGGAGGTAGAGATTCAAAGGTGGCATTCAGCAGGTTCTGACCAGTTCTGGAGAACCGGTAGGAAATTTTGAGTAGTTTGGAGAACTGGCAAATACGCTTCTGACTGGAGATTTTACAGTATCCTTCCCCTGCCATGCCCACCAAGCCACGCCCACAGAACCAGTAGTAAAAAAAGTTGAATCCACCACTGTAGAGACTCCATTGCACACTTCACTATTTCTGCTGGCATGAGAGAGGACCAGATGCACCTTCATCCTGTGTACTAGGTAACTACATCTGTGTTATCACTCCAAATTAGAGAACCAAGGCCTTTGGTCTGCATGAGGGAAATGTCACTTATGCCAGACCTGGTTATTCTGCAGCCAGTAAGTAACATTTAGCTCTTTGATTGTCCCTGTCCAGGCTGCAGTAGCAGTGAAAAGTGGAGCAGTAGTGACCCTCCACAACAGTTTGTGTGGCTGCTTGGGAAAATTAATTGCCGTCCCCTGAAAGTTGATGGTGTCAAGCACACTTGTTGCCTTTGTTATATAAATCAACTGGAAATTTTAACTGATACCTGGGTGATATTTCAAGGGTGTTTTTTTTTATATCCATGCAGCAATTTAATGTCTGTCACAAAACTAAAACTGGTTCAGGAAGTGTCCACTGACTGACACCCATCGGCTGCAGCATCATCAGCACTCACAATTAGAAGTTCCATAATTTACCTTGCTGCATGTATAGGGTAATGTTTAATGTCACAGAGGTCACAGTATTGTAGATGGGTGAATCTCAGTGTGGATGTTATACTGTATAAGACTAAACCATAGGGTAGATAACACTATATACAGTGATATCCCTAGTGTTCCTGCCATACAAATATAGATGTAGGTCCTACAAATTCTTAAAGCTTCCTACAGATTATTACCATTAACCCTAGCCTGCTTCATTGCATAACAGTCTAACAAGTAGTGATGGAAAAAGAAAAATTTCTCAGGTCTCAAAATGTACATAGCAGCTTCCTCCATGATTAAATCCTGATTTAGGTTTACCCACTGTTTATCCCACACTGAAGAGCAGACAATTAGAACAAAACGGCCGCCTTCACTGTTGCTTTGATTTCCATAATATAAGGTCAAAAGGTCAGTCAAAAAGGAATATCAATGCTTGTCATCCCTTCTGTGATGGCGATATTAGAATTTTGTTATATTATCTCCTGGTCATTATATCAATGACTGCTCTGAGGCTATTTTCCATTTCATATTCTTCTCAGCACATCTCTAAACACCAGCTACTGCCAGTAAATTCCTGCCTCATTACCCAGGAGTCTCTTGAAAGCAGTAACCATAGATAAAACTAGCATGCAGCAAAATATGTTGTCTTCTATTTTTGTCCACCTGGACAATAGGATTGCTCTCAGGTAAAAATGGGTCATCATCCAGTTTGAGCTTGTTAGCTTACAATTTTCAGTATTAGAGATGCTAGGAAACAATTTAAAGAGGGAAAGAAGGCCTATCTATTGTTAAATAAGTATTGAAACTGTAGGAAATGTTTCCATTCCATCAAACATTTTACAACTTGTCATTCCATAAACAACAGCATAAATAACACTTTAACTGGTGTTTTTCATTTTGGTATGTGGACTCCCAAGTCCCAAAATTCTCAGTAGTGACAATGCTATTTGGGGAGGGATTTGAATTTTGCACATTTGGATGTTAGCAAGATTAAGAGTTTATACTTAAGCAAGAGGAAGAATCAAGGGAATAACATTCCCTCATAATCTCCTGCTTTGTCTCTGCTTCACTGAGCTACAGAAATTTACAGTTTGTGATACAGCAGTCGGTTTAAAGCACTTCTGTGTTCAGGATTTATTTTCTCTAGAAACTTTGAGATGTCAAATCTACAGTAACACTGAACACAAAACTTCAGTTAAATGTGCCCATCTTACATAAGGAAGGGAGGGAGGGAGGGATATCATATCCAGTCAAGACCCTCTCCTTGCTAATACTAGCCTGT